AGTAGCTGGTGTAGTGGTTCAGTCGTATGCTCGCGGAGATGGGCTACACTGATTCTTCCACCTGGCGTGATTCCCGGTGGCTGTATGTCGCCTTGGAATTTAGTGTGGGGTTGTTGCACCCGTCTTCAGCCCCATTTTCGGACCTCTTGAGTCAACCGCATTTGGTCTCGGCCGCGGAGCTCAATTTCAATTCGGAGATTGGGGTGAGCAACGCCTTCCATCTCATGTAGCCCTGAACCCTCAGCTCCTACTTGCATGCCCTGATCAACCTTGTCTTTCGATCTTCTACCTGAGACTGAAGTGTCCGCTCTTTTGATGTATCTCGCAAGTCGAGAGATCGAGAAAAAGGAAGCAGAGTCGGAGGCAGAGATAGAAGTTGCATTCCTCCTCGTTGTCGTTTTCTGCTTAGTGCTTGCAGAGCATCCGCACCCCATGTAGGTCATCAACGAGGATGGCGAGTGCTAGCCTCAATGACTGGCAGGGCTCTCCTTTGGAATGTTTCTGATTTGCATTGGGGCATGGAGCCATGAAGCCTGATTGCGTTTCTGCCTGAGGCCTCCATCGGAGGAGGCCATCGATGCCATGCTGCGAACGCCGGCAAACCAGATTCGGGGGTTTTGAGTCGCTGTAGTTTTGTCATGCAGACACGGCTGATCACTGGAATGCCGCTGGCAAGGATGTCACCAGAGGCCGCAGAGGTGGGATGCCCGACTCGGAGCGATCTGGATGCAGGTTGAAAGTATGCGGTCGAACTTGAAGGCTTTGAAGTGCGCTGTACTTACAGAGGTGTCCGGACAGGTCGCTTGTTCCCCTCTCCGCTGTGTTGTTGAGCCCAGCTTGTGATCTTCATGATGTCCGGCCTCCTTGTACTGTGAAATCGTGCAACCCTTTCACGCGCGCATCGTTAAGGAGTGTCTTACGACTTGCAAAATGGGCGGAGTGGTGCACGCAGTCTCAACTCTCGACGACTTTGGGAGTGGGAGCTCTTGCGTTACACTTTTGGGTCATGGTCGCTTTGGGACGGAGGAATCCCCTTCGAGCAGCCGTGCCCTTGTGCCTCCTCGTGCATCGTCCCTGCAGTGGCGGCAGCCCGAGCACCCATACCGCTAACGATCTTCATCGCGAGATGGTGATGATTCGCGCCTGGAGGTCAATGTTCATAAGCCCCATGTTGTGCATACCCGGTAGTACTAGTTTTGCTCCCGTGCGTGGACTCTTGCATGTCAAAGCTTACAAGTGCCTACAGGGAACAACTTGCCTGCTCCCCGCTCCCAGCATGCAACTCAACCGACCGTCCGTCCAATGCTAGCAACACATTCGGTGGACGGGCGGGCGACTGGCCTGAGGGCTGGACATTAAGGCCTGGAGAAAAAAGTGCGGAGATGAGGGGCAGGGGGGTGGGGCTTCCTATGCTTATGGCGAAGCAACAATGCTCATGTACGCCCGCGTTCGAGGCGGATGAACAGATGCAGAAGAGATTGGGGCTGGCAGGAGAGACCTTCGGCAGCGGCCTCGGCTTGATGGCTCCAGCTCTTGCATGTATGCATTTCGTTAGGGATGCTGCAGTAGTTTCAGCACAGATCCGCAAGTTCGGACGGATGAGTGGGTTTGCGCGGTTGCAAGGCCTGCTGCACATATTGACATGCATGTAAGGAGGAGTCCCAATAAAGGGATAGTAAGGATTAGCGTCAGCGTTCCGACGAGACGACGAAGTCGCGCGATTGAACTCTTGTGAAACCTGCGCCATGTGCCTGGACCCGAGCTGCACGGCATAGATGCGCTGCCCGAGGAAAAGCCGTCGAAAACGTCGTCAGTGGCAAATTGTTTGACAAGTGATGGAGCCAGGCAACGCAGGTAATCGGAAAATTGCGAAAGAGCGTGGTAGCCCGTCTTGAAAGAGAGCTGCTGTGTAGCACCATCATGACACAGACAGTATGCTGAAAGCTGGAGCTAGTGCAGCAAGAAGCCGTTTCCATGGTTGAAGCACACGCCATTTTGTCGGATCTCGTAACCTGCACCATTTGAGCAACATACCATTCGAAATGGTAAGGAGAGTCGAGAAGCAACCCATACTGCGAGGCCGCAACTCTTCAGACCCAGTGCATCCCACAGCAGCCCTCTACTCCGAACATGGGAACAGCAGCATTACAAGTCAGCCAGCTCGGGCTCGGACTCTATGCGTAAAACTGAAAACAACAAGGCTTACCCGTTCCAACATCCTTGGCAAGAGCAAGGCTGAGTGTGAGACGTAGCCTCGAGATGCCTTCGGCTCGGCAACATCATAGCATAATAGATTCTAGATGTCCGCGGCCGCAAATGCCATTGCTGCAGCAGCGGTTGCCAACATTCGGGTAGTGTCCTCAGAAGATAATTGTGTTCATGCTGAATCGTGGCGCAGATAAGATGGAGGTGTTCCAAAGAGACATGTCGTATACGACATGAGGACTTGCTAATCCCAGGGCCTGAGAGAGCAAGGTGCTTGTTGTTTCTTTGATTTGTCGTCGTGCGCCTGCACTGGTGCAATCTAGTCCCACTGCTGTGAGCAAGAACACGAACTACTCCCTGATATCATCTTCCCTGCAAACCAACGTGCAATGGCCCAGCCTCAAGACTCCCCCGCTCTGCCAGGCAACGGCAGCAGAGGCCCTTGCCACAGAAAGGCAGACCAATGACCGTAGCTTAGCCAGCAGCGCACGCACAGTGATAGGGAGTGCCTCAATGGGCTGCAGTTTCAGATGTAGCAGCGCCTCCCCTCGTGAAGCAGCTGCTTCATGCAGCATGCTGTTCGATGCAGCCTGTAGCCACCCTAACTGAGGCCTCCGCGGTTGAGCTGCTGCAGCCACGGCCAGCGGAAGCACCGGCGAAGTCCGCCCACGGCTATAGGCCCGGGTGCGGAGGTTGCGATTTCACTGGCAGCTCGCGGCACACAGAGCCCTGTGCGATTGACAGTTTTGACAAGCTGAGCGCAGCGGAGCAAGCAGCGCCGGAAGCCAAGCAATGGTTGAGGGGCCATTGCGATCACTGCTGTGAGTCATCGCTCTGGTGTAATTGTCGATCGCGATTTTCGTTATCATCTTTCAGTACCACCAGGCCGATCATCACCACCACCAGAACACATTTTTGCGACACTCGCGGTCGGTCCTGATGGTCCTTCGATTTGCGATTCTGCCAACGGTTGTACATGGGCAAGGAAAGGACGAACTTAGTGTGACAGCATCATACTACTACTACTACTACTACTACTACTCCTGCTCCTGCTGCTGCTGCTGCTCCTGCTAGTGCTACGACTTCTGCTGCACTGCTGCGGCTTCTACGACTTCTACGACCATTACCAACACAGCTGCTACGACTGACCACTGCTACTGCCACTACCACTGCTGCTGCTGCTACTGCTCCCTCTACTGCTACTGCTACTACTACTACTACTACTACTACCACCACCACCACCACTACTGCTACCACTACCAGTTCTACTACCTCTATGTCTACTTCTTTTACTTCCACCAATAGTTAGGTATCTGCGTACTACTGCTACTGTTGATGCTGTTGTTGTGGAGAGCATTCTTTGCTTTTCGCCTTTGGACATGATGACCCCATGTTCGATGAGCCCGACGCCAAAGCATACATGTTTCTCTCAGCCAGGTGAGAACATCTGTCATGGTAGAGTCAGCCTGGCCCCCCCCGTACCTCTCCACATCAAGTCAGATGTAGCCCATCGCGTGATCCTTCTGAGTGTGCTGCAATCTGGGCTTGCGAGTCTGACAGATTCATGAAACAGACGTCACCCCGAGACCCGTAACGTGCCATGTGCCGAATAGTGCAATGCGGTCGCTGAGATGTGCCTTGCCAACTCCAAATCGTACACGCTCGCAGCTGTTCTGGCTTGTATTAGCTGTTCTGGCTTGTATTGTTATGGGCGGCATGCTTTGGGACTCTATATATATATATATATATACAGACTGAGTCCATTAGAAGGACTTGCCGCTAGTCGCATGCAGGAGCATTTTCAACAGTTTGAAGTTCTGGCGGGCGTTTGCCCCTGAGGACCGCAGACTGAGTCAGGAGCATATTTAAGCGGCTAGAATTGAAAGATCTGTTCTAAATTGCTGGCCTGCGGCCATTCCCTGTTTGAGATTGTTCATAGGCAGACGGAACCATTTCCTCGGGAGGCTCGCAACCCGGTAGCAACCGGATAATGAGAGCTTTGCATCACAGACAACATTCCTTGGACAAATCTCACAGTTTGATCTAGGAAAAATCGCCCTAGATGAGGCAGAGCCCCTGACATGCCAGCTCCGGGGACTTATGAGCAATGCCGGCGGGGCCGGAGCTGCCCGCTTTGGCAGCTCCATGGCGCTCTAGATTACTGAGTTACTGACTTGCTCTTGCTCTGAGCACAACTTCACCGCATCTTTCAGCATTCCAAACACGCTAAGCGTTGTCCAGAGCGGATTCCGAGCATGCATTGCCAGAATACTTGCGGGACCGGCATGTCCCAAACCAGACATGGAACGGGGAGGGCCTTGTTCCAATCAGCTTCAGCAAACTTTGGCAACTAGTCGTGGTTTCTGTCGCTGCTCGGCATGTCAAACTGCGAACTTTGTCTGCCACGTCCAACAGGTTTTATGAATTGCCCACAAAGGATTTGCTGGAGCAGCTGGATGAGGAGGAGCGCAAAGAGGAGGCGAGCCGCACCAAGCCGCAGCTGGGCTGGCATATGTGATAGCAGAGGTTCAGTCGAAAAGTCCAGAGAGCGGTGTTTGTCACGTTTTCGGTTCAGCGTTGAACATGCGGGGAAGGGGTTCGGCTGGGACACGATGCACGCATGACCTCGCATGGACCTCAATGTAGTCTGTGGGAAAGCACGGCTCGGTTTAGCAGCGCTGGGCCCTGTCGAAACCTGATTGCATAGAGTCTCGAAGCGCACAAAGAGGATGCGTGGGCCAGTGCCAAGTGTATAAGGTGTACTTGGATTGTCTGCTTCATTCTGTTTGTTGGTCTGTTTCTTCTTCCGCTTGTTGTAGCTGTCTCTTTGAGCTAGACCAGAAGGCAGTGATATAGCAGACATAGCCCAGGCTCGTACTGCACGATGGGCGAGCTGAAAGCGATGCCGATGTGAGTGGATACTTGCTTTCGGCTTCCAGCAGAGTTGAATTGGCAGTTTCTAGTTGTCGGCATCTTGGTCTTGCAGAACCTGATCTCTGAACCATGCCGAACCACTCCAGGATGCGTTCGGCTGCTGCTCAATGCTGCAAGTATCGACGTGGCACAGGCTATTGTCTTCTGTGGGCTTCCCGTACTGGTGCCTCTGGCTAACTGCCTCATGTTGAAAGTGCCTGGAGCTACTGCTCAGCTGGCGGCGCCGTGTTGACTCCTAGAGGCCCTAGCTTGAGATCTGCCTAGGTGCACCCTCTCCTAAGAAGCCTCTTCTTCGACGATTCGCTGGAGGAGGTGGGTGGAAGGGGGGTGGGTGTCACTGTCACTGCCAGAATTTTTGTCATCATGTTTGATGAAAGAGCACCATCTACAATCTAGAGGCGACGTCGTGTGCAGGCCATCCAGCAGGTGGAGGGGAGGATCGGCCAAGTCTCTCCAGCCAAGCTTCTGCAGGCGCTACGTTTCCCGTCACGGGCGTGTTAGTCTCTCGCTGATCGTTGCCCGCCCTCTTGACCCGCAACTGCAAGAAGAGCCAGACGGGTTGAAGCACTGGCAAATTCATGATGGCGAAGCCAGCAGCAACAGCAACAACAAGAACAACAACAACAACAACAACAACAACAACAACAACAACAACCAACAACAACAACAACAACAACAACAACAACAACAACAACAACAACAACACAGCCGTCATAGTGCAATGACAGTGAAGAAAGAGGTTAGGGATTTTGGAACGGATCCTGGGTGCTTTTAGCCGTGTCTTCATTGGCTTTACAAGGTTTCACGGAGTGTTCCGGGGATCTCAATGTGTTTTGGAATGGGTTTTGATGGGACTTACCATTAGTTCAATTTGCTTTAGGCAAGGTTTAAATGGTTAGTGAGAAGGGTTCAAGGTCGTTGAACCATGTTTCCAAAACAGATAAAAATTCAAACCTTTCTTAAACCCGTGATCAGCTTCACAGATTGGAAGCCTTTTCGATCCATTTCAAAACCCTGCTCAACATCAGTAAACCCTTAAAACGCTGGTCAAACTAGGCACCCAGAGGCATATGCTCTCGGGTCCCGGCCCTATCCCCCTTTTTCCTTATCCCCCCCTCGCCCCCAACCCTGCTCGCCCCCCTCCCCACCCGCGGTCCTGGTCACAGTCGTGGCTTTCGGAAGATGGAATCGTTACCGCGAGCCGGAACAAACCCGCGCAAACCACAGGGAGGGAGGCACCACTTTCAATGAGAAAAAGGCAACATCAAATCCTCTAGTATTGTAACGAGCACCATGACGATGACACTACTAGCAAGAATCGGCTGCAACCGTACGTCGGCAGCACACACCCACCCTTCCCTAGTCTGCTAACTGTTCAGCAGCAACGCACAGCAGGCACCATGCCACAGGCGCGGTGGGGCAAGCCAAGAAGACCAGAGACCCCACTCCACAGTGGGGGGCCCGGAGCAGGGCCCAGCAAGAAGACCATCCGGTGATAGCACGCGGCATATATTTACATCTCCACCTGCAGCGAGAGAGAAAAAATGGAGCCCGGCCCGTAGTTTTCATACTCCCCTTTACCATTTCTCTCAAAGAATCAGCTGCTGCGCAAACCATGCTTCGCATTCTCCAAAAAGACTCGACAGGCAATTCATGGGGTCGCTGGAAGCATTACCAATTGTTTCTAACTAGCATAAGTTACAGGCTGCTGGTTCTGATTGCACCACCAACACCAACACCAACAAAAACCACGACAACGACGACAACAGCAACAACGTCACCACCACCACCGCCAACAACAACAGCAGCAGCGACGGCAACACAAGCAACAGCAGGAGCAGTCGTCATACTTGGAGCAGTACTAGTCGCAGTGGGAGCAGCAGCAGCAGCAGCAGCAGCAGCAGCCTCACTGTGATGTATGTGTGCGAAATAGAGGTGCAACTGCCGGCTGAACACTGCACTTTTGCTTCTCCATGCGATCCAGACCTTGTTTCGTCCCACTGCTGCCACGAGTTTGGTTCGTGCCCATGCAGGAGCTCGAAGACACCGAGCCGAGCATCCTTTCACGTGGCAAGGACTCAATTTGTCCAATGTCTAAGCCGCTTTTGTAGTCATAAATGAGAGCGGCAGGTCACCGATGCACGCGTATCAGAGGATATCGCCTTCCACGGCAGAAGAGATCAAAAAGATTCGGTACCAGTCGATAGGACTTAATGACCGATGGGGTGGATCCGGTGATCTGTCAGGAGCTCTCCGAGGGAAAGCTGGCTCAGGAGGTCTTGCAGTGGGATGGGTGGCGCAGACAGGCAATTGTGGATCTCCAAGTCAAGCTCAACCTTCCATCCGTAATTACTGAGCGATGCTGGGGCGAACATCCATCGGGGAGAGAGAGAGAGAGAGAGAGAGAGAGAGAGAGAGGGTTGCTTCATCCGGTAGGCTGACCGAAGGATGAGGAATACCAGCTGCAGACTTCCCTAAAGGAACGGGCACCTCGAGCCCGAAGCTTCGGTGGTGGTGGATGGGTCGCTCGGACGAGCGGAGCGTGCTCCTCATGCCCCAAGCAAAAGAAAGCAAACAGAGCCAACAGAGCAGCACTCGCCCAAGTCTCCAAAGCACAGGTTTCACGCCGAGCTTAAGCCGGGTGGGTCGAACTGCGGCGGTGGTTTCTCGGGCCCGCAAGCATCAGCAGCGAGAGGATCGTTCCCAGAAAAGGAAGGAAGAGATTATCTCGCATGACTTGACCCGCCCAACCAACGGAGGCCGACGCCCCCGCGCTGCGGGAAAGAGAAGGTACTTCATAGCTCCTCCTCTCCTGGTCCTACTTCGATCCCTGGTCGTTGCGCCGGCGCATACGGAGATTGTGTATTCTGACAGGGGAGAAGAGTCTTAGCCGCGGCAATCCACAATGAGGGGGAATCATCCGCCAGTCATCCGCCACATCCTTGAGATTTTGAGAGCCCACAGACAACATGGCGGGCTATGATCCCCAGGGCCAACCATGACGAACTACAGACGTACATTAGACGGCCCCGCTGGTCAAGTTGAGAGTGCACGCAGTCGAAGCTCGTTTGTCAAGCCAGCTGGCCTGCCCCATCGCCTTTTCTCAAAACCACCCCCCCGCAAGTCTGTGCAAACCTTCAGTGTCACCATAGTATTTGAGTCCTTGGAGGTGGCGGCACGGCTGGAGCTGATCGAAAAGCAGTTGGCCCTCTCGATACTGGGACCTTGCCATGGCATGTCTGTCCAAACCTATTGACACAATTTGGATGTGCTTGCTTCTCAGAGACTTGGACTTGGCAGGACTTGGCCAGTCGGCCGACAGCGCATCCATCACCAGGGCTTTCAAAAGACGAGCCGTGGAGCTGCATCCAGACAAAGGCCCGAGGCTTGAGCATTACGGCTTCAACTTTGCCTCATCGGATGAGTGCAATTGATCCCTGGAAGGGGGCGACCTCGAGGAGTTTCAGCTCCTGCAGCAGATGAAAGATGTGCTGCTGGGCGCGAAGGTGCCGGCCATTGAGCAGGATGCTGACGGTGGCAGTGCGACTCTCGGCAGCATGAACACGTGGTGCTGACCTGATGCACATTGCAGCAGTTGAGTTTGCGGGCACAGGGCGCCAAAAGACGACGTCAAAGAAACGTCTGGCGACTCTCAAGACACTGACGACGAGATCGACAAGTTGCTGGGGAATCCAGGCTGTGAGGGTCGTTAGAAGGGGGGAAGCAGGCCGCTCGGCGAGTTGGCTGAGTAGGCAGTCTTTCGTGCCCTGGGGGTCCATGCTCCGAAGCTGCCGTCGAGTACCCGACGAAGGTGCAGAAGCAGCGGGCGAGCCTGCCCGAAGCCGCAAAAGCCGCCTCTTGGCTTAACCTATGCCGGGACGTAGAGGGGATTTCTGTTGGATCCGAAAAGTCGCCATCCTATGATATCAAGATAGCTGGGGCATCGCGCGCAACTCCAGCTTTGTTTCCTGGGCGGCAAGCTAGACGGTACAATCTGGGAACAGTCTTTCCTGACAATCACCGTGTGGAGCTATGCTTCCTTCCCCCCACGATGTAATCTTTCCATGCAGAAAGGCCCATTACAGCGTAAGTGCGCGGTGAGAGTGGGAACTCGTACTGGCGAGAGTTAATCTTGACTCTAGACCGAGATATACTTAACACTTTGATGCACTTCGCAAAACTTGAAATTTTGAAGGCGTGATTCCGTGGCAGCATGTAGAGCTCTGTGATGAAGTTTCCAGCTAGGGTGCTAAGGGCAGTACTTGGACCCAGCAACCCACCTTACAACGCTGGGGCACCAGGGGCAAATGCCGGAAAGTATCGAGGCAAAGCCGAGCTCCAGGCGAACCGCGTCAAGCTACACCAAGCTGCGGCTGGGACTTGCAAAGTGGGAGTTTCCGAAAATTAGGGGTACCTTATTTTGGGGTCCTTATAATAAGGATCCTACTATTTGGGGTACTATATTAGGTTGGGTCCCCTATTTTCGGAACCCCAAGTAGGGATTCCCAAAGTGCCGTGGATTTGGGCATCGTGCCTGATTCAGTAGCCGGGAGTGGCGCTAGAGCCGATTCGTTCGTGCATTCGGCTGAGGTCACCATGGCCTGGTCTCGCTGTGGAAGGCTCTGCTCGCAGCTGTCCACCTACAAACAGGTGGGACCAGGGCAGGTCTGCTGTGGTACAAGAAGCCCTTGTCCGACGGCCAGCTCTAGGTGTTACAAGTTCCTTCCCAAGCGCATTAGCCAACATTGCCTGACCAGCTTGTCCACTTTGCAGGTTGTCTTGATGAGTTACTGCTGACTTGCGACGTTTCGACTGAGAGCGGTCCATGGATACTCTTCCTGATAGTTGATACTGTGGTTTCGAAGAAGATTGAAGCCACGTCGTCGTTGTGTGTCGTTGTTCAGGCACAGGCAGGGAGTGTTAGGAACCATTCTCGAATGATGCATTGTCCTTAGCCTACCACTCTCTGGCCGAGCCAGGCAAGTCAAGGCCAGCCTCGTGAAATTCTGGCGTCTTTGGAAGAATTCCTGGACGCGATCGAGGAGAGTGTGCAAAAATCGTGCTACAGTAGACTGTGATCCGCATTACTGTACCGAGGATCATGAGACACAAGCTGCTCGCGGTGTGGGCCAGACGCGGCCAGACTACCGAAACATCTATATGTTCTTCGCAAAGAGGTGAAAGTCTAGAAACCGTCACCAGATGCTTCAGGGGGTGCTACAGAGTGACACGGCCGAACCCTCCACACTTCATCTCGAAAGTTCCCGACAAGCTTGTGGTCACGTTAACGTTTAAAAGTTGGTTCACAACGGCGGCTTTAATAAGATGTCTCGATCCCTGAAGGAGAGTGACGATGATCTTCGGTTTGCACCCGATGGCACGCGCTTGGGCCTGCTGGTTGTGCGAGGTCCGCTGCAGCTGGGGCAGGGAGCCACCGACTGCACCCCACCCCCCCCATTTTAGCCTTTACAGGAGTGGTTGGCAGCGAGCTGGAAGCATAGAAAGCCCTGCAACATACTGCGACAGGTGCAGAGTGCTTGAGCGCGGCCGCCGTGGTGGATCCAGAGGTGTCGCAAGGGTCTTCCGAGAAGGAACTGCATGCAGCTCAAGCGAACTATCGGGGTGTGAAGGGATCCTTGCTGCCTGTTGCAGTCCATGTTGTGTCCTGATGACACGTGCCCACCCGTCGCGCAGGCAACTGTTTCCACGCTGGTGAAAAGCCGCCATGTGGTCGAGATCGAGAAGCACGAGAGATGGCCTCTATTGATGCTAGGCTTCACGCTCACGAGATGGTTCCGGAAGGCTCTTTCGGAGCAACATTCGAAAATACGGTTGCTCCTTGAGGACGGAAGCCATGAAAAAGCTCCCATCGCAGGAGCCGGTCTCAGCAGTGGTTGACAAAAATCAACGGTGCTGGAGCTTGGAAAGGCAAAAGCCAGAGACGCTGAGGTGGACGCTTTCCTCGTCGCGACCCGCCAACTTGGCCTTCCAGGTGCCGCCATGGCGAAGTCTGCAGCACAGGCTGAACCCAGCAGCTTGGTCGAAGGTTTATGGAGCCTAGGGCTTAGGGCTCAGGGCCAGCCAGGCTGAGTTACCAAGAAAATCCCTGCCTTTGTGTGAGATGGTTGCCTCAGCAGGATCCTCGGTGCTCATGCCCCGAGAATCTGCTTTGCAAGCCGAGGCAGGCCCCTGATCTTCTGAGAAGTAGCTGAGGTCTCTGAAGACAGAGAAAAAGAGAGAGAGAGAGAGAGAGAGTGTGTGTGTGTGTGTGTGTAGGGGGAAACCCCTGCACCGCAGCCCTGGCGAAAGAAAGAGAGAGAGAGAGCGAGATATCACAGTCCCTTCAAAGCCCCATAACACGTGGGGGGCCCATGTGGCCGAGGGACCTGACCCGTCCCTCAGAGAGAGAGAGAGAGAGAGAGAGAGACAGAGAGAGACATCTTGCGGGTTATAATAATGCTGTCTATGCTCGTTTCTCACTCCCCGTTGCCCAATAACACGTTGGGTGGGCCTGGTGCCCGGGGACGTTGACCCGTCCCCATGCCCGGGAGAGAGAGAGAGAGAGAGAGATCTTGCGGGTGGGCCATCGGCCCGAGGGGCCTGAACAGTCCCTCATGCCCGGGAGGGAGGCAGAGAGAGAGCGAGAGGGATTTCTCGGCAAGCGGGAAACCCCAGCCCACAACCCTGGCGAAAGAAAGAGAGTGAGTATAGACGACGACCGGAGTGAGACGACCGGAAAGACGACGCGAGCGGCCAGCTCGGAACACCCATCCTGGGGGAATCAAGAGTGCTCGGCAACGTCACCGGAAACCACAGACAGTGGCGGCGACTACGACGAAACAGAGACGTTGCCATGGCACCCGCCTCCTGCCCCCAGAAGAAGACCAACTGAGCCAAATGAGCCGGGGCACACACCATCGCAGACGCTTGCACGCAGCGTTTGACGACTAGCCAGACTGCAGTTCCCCCACAAGGCGTGTCCAGATGTTCTTATGCAGTTACGAGGTCATGTGTGCACTTGTCAGCAAGGGGGGAACACAGTCAGAGAGGTTCAGGGTTGGGCGGAAGGTCGCAGATGTCGCAGGTGACAGCGGGGGATCAGGCTTCAGTTCGGCGTGCAGGCAGGGATCAGGCAGGTGAGGGGGGTTTGGAGGGGATTCTGCCTCTTCCTGAAGTCTCAAAGCAAGCAATCAAGCGAGAGAGAGAGGATAGGTAGGGAGGCCGAACTCAACTTGCAGTTGCTCACGTTCACCACGTTGCAGGGGCCCTCTACAGCTGCTGTAGCTAGCGCGGCAGCGCAAACGCCAGCGACCTGCCAACGGGGAGACTTGACATACGGTGACATACAGGTTCTGTACAAGGGTCTAGTTGTGGTCATGACGACGATAGACAGTATTAGCAGGATACTCATGGTGGGGAGACTCCGACATATGGGCTTCTGCTGAGTTACACACAGCCCAGGATGTGTTTGCACCAAGTGTCTGCGTCGTCGATGGGGCTTCCAGAAAGCAGCATCGCGTGGCACCAATGAAGGGTATAGAGGATGTTAGCAGCGAGGGCGAAGAAGCACGCCGAGGCCTGCATCCTGTAAAAGCAGATTGCACATGATTTTCCTGTATTTTCATCACATATGTCCCAATGAGCAGGTGGAGCTTGGAGGAGCCAGAGCGCCCAGCGGCCGTCCACTGTCAGCTGCGTCGCCCATGCACGCCGTGAAAACCTCTTGCTTACCAGCGGTGGTCTGCGTGCGTGGACAAAATTGTGGACACGCTGCTACAGCTGCACTCTTCTAGCTTGACTGCCTGAAAGACATGCACATGAATGTGGAGGTTTTTGCGGTGGGAGGGCTGGGGCCCGTGCCTGGCCTTGCCTTGCTTGGCACAATGACTCGAACTTCGCAACCCAAATTCGTTGTGCGTGCGTGTCATGTGCAAAGCCGCACTGCTGCATGGCGACTAGCTTCCACGAAAATGGCTGCGGACTCCACCTATTTCGGATTCAATTCCTGAGCGCATGCGATTCAACCAGGTTCCAGTCGCCGTATGCCCTTGAGTACTTTGGTGCAGGCCAGTAGTTGAAGCAGGGACTCAGTCAGTTTCCCTCGTTTCCATGCACAGCCCGCAATATCCAGGCGCCGAAGAAGACAACGAGGACGAGGCCAGATCACACAACGACTGGATATGGTTTTCGATGTCTAAGAAGTCTAGCAGGGTCTGGCAGCGCCTTGTCTGATTATTGCCTACAGTCAGGGTGAAAATCCGGCTGTTTGGCATGCCGCGTTGATCAGACCACTTCTTGCCTCCAGCCCACGAGTGCACAGATATTCACAGGACTGCATCGACTACGGCCAGTCTTCGGCTCAGACGGCTCGTTTCCTGAGTTTCGAGGCCCCCTGAGCTCCAAAGCGGGCTTGACGCGCAGGTACACACTGCCGGAGGATACCATCTTTGAAGAGGAGTTCATCCGACCATCGCAGGCCCTGGAGCTCCCACTTCACGAGATCTCACGCTCACTAGGGAATTCGTAGACGGCCTGCCTCGAAGATCCTCGAAGCAAGAGCACAGCTAGAGATCTGGGCCAGCACCTCCTTGCACTTGCACCTGAACTGGCTTCTGTGATGGGAAGGCTCGGCGACGTGCGTACAAGGAGTATGTCGTGAGAAGCTCGGCTCTGCGCATGCCAGATTTGTCACAGTAGTGTCGGCAGGTTTGGATGAAGATTGTGAGCGAGCCATGTGTATTCAGCTGTGCTCAGGTGGACAACTCGGACCTTCAAGCGGATGCTCCAGGCTGGGTTTTCATGTCATCATAGTTCCTGCCTCTTTTTGTATAAATGCGGCAGAAGTGCAAACGTTTTGCCAGAGCCAAGGCGTAGCTTTCCGATTTAGCCGGCAACTGAACGATAGCCCTGGCCTTGGAACTTTGGTTGTTTTCATATGACTAAATGCCATTGTTGCATGTGGGTGTCTGTCCGTTTGTCTGTGTTGTACCGTGGGGGACCGGAGACTGCAAAAAGCCGATGGCGAATGAAATGACTTTAGAGGAATTCTAGCTGGCAGCCGAAGATAGCATTCTGGAACCTATCATCAACACCTGCGAGGGTAAGCGAGCGGTTCTGGCGTCAGATTTTTGGCTTCCTCGCGCTCAGGAGATGATGTGCGGCCTGTGGCACTGTGGGGGTGCATCGTCACAGGGGAGGACAGCGCAACAACGGCGTGCATGTTACCATTGTAGCAAACATCAGTTCTTGCTCGTTCTTCTGTTAGACTGGGTAAGCAGTGATGCTTGTGAAGGAGACGGAGAAGCTGTGCAAAGCAATCAGGTTGCAAGATATTGTAGTGTATGACAGCCAGCCCGACCTTGCGGAAGTAGAAATATGGCGAGGCGGCATCACTGCCACTGTGTGGAGGAGGGGGGGCATTCGGAGGCATGTGAAGAGAAAAGGCTGCAGTCATGACGCCGAACCCAACCCGAAGGCCAACGAACATCACACCGAGGAGTGCTCACGCACGATAACCCTCCACGCCCCTTCGAAAATTCTGCAAACTTTTCCGACGGAATACATGGCGAGGCTTGCTTCCTCAGTCCCAAGACGAAGCCATCGTGTGAAGTCTTGCTGCCCAGACATCAGGACACCGGAGATGGATGGATACAGGCCACATGCCGTGGTGCTCCCGTTTTACGTTGGGTTGGTCGTCCTCCCCAACTAGGATTCAATCTCCCCCTTGGCAGTGCTGCGACTGGAACCACGTATGTCGATGGGGCGATGACGGGGTAGTCAGGCACGATGTCTGGAGTTCAGAACCCGTCTTTGGCGGTGCATCCGCAACGGTCCCATCTTTCTGGGGTCACTTGGCAGATCGGCGACCGGTTCCTGCCCAAGGAGGTGGGTGGGAAGAAGGCGGGCCTAGCGAACAGCCAATATGTGGCAACCAACCCGCCAAAACATGCAGAATCGTCATTCGACATAGGGCGCAACCACGGTCTTGGCGAATAAACTACACCGAAGTGTCATTAAATTCGGTATATCGCTGACGAGATGACCAATTCCCTACAGCCAAAGATCGAGTGGTGACTGCAGAGCATGCAGCCCTTGTCGATGGCATTGCAGCAGGTTTTGCTCGAGCGGGCGCCGTCGAAGTTTCGGGCAGAAGATCGCGTGCAGCTCAATGTGCTCAACACTGTTTGGGGGGAGCACCGGCCCTACTGAGGCCTAGATGATTTAGACGACCTAGATGAGGCAGGACGTGCCGCGCAAGACCTGCAATAACAGGCATGATAGTGGCACTTGGCGTTCCTCAGCATGTCAAGCTCGGACTGAAGACAGCATCGAAGCTGTACCTTGAGCAGGATGAAGCTGCAGAAGAGTCGGCTGAGCCTTGGAAGGGCACAGATGACAGAGGCAGGATTCGAACCCTCTCCGCCGTCGGATTCTAGCTCGAAAAATGGTCTTGAAAGACTCGTCACGGTAGCGGGTTTGCAAGTCTGGAGAAAAGAGCCTGCTTTTCTTGAACAGGGAAGCGGCGCGAGACTACAGAACAGCTGCTTGGTTCCGTTCAGCCTGAACTGGTGGGACACGGTTTCGGGTCGCCCAACCTCCTTCTAGTTGCTGTTCCAACCGCCTCCCCATCCCTCAAACGAGACCAATGCGACATTGCTCTCGACTGGGCAGCCAAGGCGGCGGCAGCGCCTGCAACAAGCAGAGCAGCTGAGGGCCCAAGACAAGGCTTGACGAGACAGAAAGCAATGCAAAGGTTAGTTCAGCTTTAGTTTTCGGACACTTTGGGCTGAGGGGTGCGGTTGCAATATGAGGGCCATCCTCCGGGATTTCGATGGACCTGTCGGCCCGCATTTGGAACCAGAGTTGCGGTGCCTGCAACGTTCGGCCTGAACTGGCAGGAGCACGAGGAGCACGAGCAGCGAAGCCGTGAACTTCTCCGAAAACACAAGATGCTGCTGCATGAGTCAGGCTCTGAGGGTGGTTAGCTTCGGGTGACGTGTCGGATTTTGTCGTGGCCAAGGCCAGCCATGACCCACTACACAGCTCAGCACTCAGCCGTTCAGGGATGTTTGCATTCTCCAGAAACAAGCAAATCCGGTGAGAGTAGTCCCACTGACCCCAAAATGTAATGTACTAGTAGTTGATTGTTTGAAGCCTTTGCAGCAAGCCAGAAAGCAGGTCCTTGGCCTGGCAAGGAACGCCACACCGGAAGACATCGAGCGGGCGTACAAGGCAACAGACTCAGTTCTTGGAACATATACAGCTTCGAGCTTGGAGGAGCTTGGTTAGTAGGGAGATGTTTGAGGAAGGCAACAGGCTTGTCCCAACAAGGGTAGGACCTCCGATGACCTTGTGGCGCTGTCGTGAACGCTTCATGCCGGGCTCGGTGCAAAGCAGACTGCTGGAATCCATGCTTGTTTTTCCAGGACGGCATAGTACCAGGTCCTTGTTTGACCTTGCGGGTTCACTGCTTTTTATGTGCTTGTGCATGCCCTTCTCCTTCAGTGCTATTTGTCCCTCACTTTGAAAACACCGTCCTGCGCGAGGTTTTCGCACTCTTCCAGATGTTGCGCTCTTCGTACCTGAGGGTTCTGTCTCATTTTCGCTGTCTTGTCAAAACATACAAAAACTCACGTGAGTTTTTGTCGTGCGTTTTTGGTTGCGACTTGGCCCGAGCTCGAAAAACGTGGCCTGCGTGTTGTATTCCTGACTTTCGGAAACTATGTTTTCTGCTATCCCCCGCTTGCCGCTTTCTGTGTTTTTCTGTCTGTGCCGTTTTCCGTCATTTGCTCTGCTTGCTCTTTGGGGGGGTGGGGGGAGGGGTGGGGTGGGGGGGGGGCGGCTTAATGACGTTCTGTTTCGCGGGCAGCCTTATGCTGCAATTATAAAGTCAACCACTAGAGGAAACGAACACGCAACGAACGAAACGACAGCAGGAGGAGGACGTGGCCGCAGGCACACGCACCCTCCCTCTGCTGGGCCAAGCTACGAGCGGGCGAAGGGTTCAGGACGACTAGGGTAGGCCCTAAAGTTCCTAAAGCCCTGAACCGCCAAGCCCCTAAACCCCCTAAACCCCTAAACCAAACCCATCACCATGCAAACATCATCACCAAGCAACCATCACCATGAACACATCATTACCAAGCAACCATGACCATAAATAAGGTCATTGCATATACCATCCCAAACCCTTACCAATAAAAGTTTTTCCCAATACCTAAAAACACCAAACCCCGAAAAAACCGACACAAAACCACCCCGGAAAGTGAACCCGCAGGGTTGTTTGAACACATGCCCCCCGCGTTTATCGCCAGGACCACCACCGGTCTACAGCCTAGCAATTCATGAAGCTTGAACTCCGAATCGAAAGGACGTGATGTTTTGGGAGTCTTGCTTAAGCAATCTCGGGGGGTGGAAGCTGTTAAACATGGTGCATGCCCGCATCATAGGCGATGTTTCCCGCCTCGGGCCCCTATTCTTCCCTGAGCTTGAATCCCCGAACATATTTTTGCAAGAGATAGAGTAGGCACCTCGGAGAGGAAGTGCACTG